TTGTGTGAGGTTTTTTCGTTTTCTAGTACTGTAGTATTAATTAAAAATTATGTATTTTGATTGGTTAATGATCACGGAAAATCACGGGTAGATCTACAAAAATTAACCAATCATACGAATGTCTGCCCATGAACTCGATCCCAAAGGACCGATTAACATCCCTACCAAAAAAGGTGATTCATGCATGCGTACCGGTACACATTTCTTTCTTTTCATACTATATCGATATTTAATGTACAAGATGCACGTCGGGTTCCAAGTTTAACTTGGGACCGGACTTTAATAATAACGATAACATAGATACTCCGATATGTAGAACCTATCAGAAGTGGTATAAGTGGTGGGAAAATTAAAATTAGCCGGGACGACTCCAAAAGCACGGGTCACATGAAAAGACGCCTTAAAAAACGAATTATGTAACAAAAGCAATATATTACTGATTATTTAGAGTGTTCAGAATTCTGCGATGCATAATTCTGCTCGTTCTAAAAATATTTTTTTTTGTATTGTCTCGGTGATTTTTAAAAATCAAATACAATACAAAAATATATTTTTAGAGAGCAGAATTATGCACCGCAGAATTCTGGACACTAAAGATATGGCTGTGACAATGGTTTGGATTATGTGTCCCGTACTTTTGAGGGTCGCCCTGGCTAATTCGGAAAATTAGTAAACCCTTAAATTTCGCCTAAAAAACCACCAATCTTATCACTAACCCTAAGATGTTATACGGCCAATAAAACTTGGGAAAGAATCCACTTTTTATCACTTTTGCAGTGACGTAGATCATGGCGCAGCCTACTATAGTGATTACTGTGAAGCTTTCGAATTTAAAAGATTCTTTAAAAAATAATTTTCGGTCAATTATATATTTGAAGATCATCGGCCTAAATTAAGTTAATGCAGGCCAACTCTATAGGCTAACTGAATATCGTTTTATGATTGGTCATATGTGACAATTAGCCAATAAAATTATACTTGTGAAGTTAGCTCTATCTGCTATTATTATAATAAAAGAACGAAAAGAATCAAAGATATTTTCTTAAACATATATGTTTTCCTAAAAACCTATTTCATTTATTATATCAACGTAATATGAGATCTAAAATCTATAGTCTACTATATTATAATTAACGCTTATTGTGAAAAATCCATTAAACCATATAAAGTTCGTAGTAATCTAAAATTTTTACCCGTTTTTATTTCTAATAACTAACTTCCTTATTACACATTAAAAGCTCTTTATACTATGTTCTAAAACAGTATATACGTAGCTTAGTGAAGCGTTTTACTATTCTTAAAAAAGAAGTTTGTTTTGTTAGTTTTTTTTATTAAGTCAAATACATTCGACCATTTAGTAATTACATATAGTTCTATAGTTATAATATACGTAGAAATTTTACCTTCTAAGCAAAATACCTCTAGGTTGTGGATCTTTTTGGATTATTTTGCATAATAACTGTTGAAGCTTCACTGAAGGTAGAGACGGTCTTAATTTTCATTTTTTACTTGTGAAATGTTACATTTTTAAAAAGTACTCTAAACTGTATAAATACAATTGTAAGTAATTGACCAATCAGAAGAAAGTTATCCTATAGAGGCCTAAATTACTTTGCGGAAATTTACCGTTACATTTTTTGCGATAAATTATTAATACGTAATATAGGTTGTTAAGAGGAGATTTAGATTTTCATAGTAATCGCAAATTTAGTTTCTTGCTACGTAGCACGATTAACGAGGTATTAACGAGGTTTTTTGACGGAGTACAAAATTACTAATTTTCGTACTCCGTCAAAAAACCTCGTTAATACTCGTTAATCGTGCTAGTAAGAAACTAAATCTGCGATTTACTATGAAAATCTCTCTTCTTGATCTATATTATACTAGATCTAGAATATTTTAACGCTATCGCACTGCAAAAGTGATAGCCGCCCTGGATGATTCTTTGGTAAGTTTGTGAAATTTAAGCCTACTTGTCAATCCAGTATTCTTGATTTACACAAGGCAAAAAACTGTGGATACTAGCATCTTAATTCAAAAATTGGATATAAAAATACTGTAATCCATACATTATATAATGCCCGATAAATTGCTCTAGATATCATAATTTACATATATTTAAATTTTATTAAGCCAAAAAAATAAAAAAAAAAAAAAAAAAAAAATAGAAATTAAAATTTTTACTATATACTTGACTATAGGTATAAAATCAGATGAATATACTGCCCTTCATCTTTTTTTTTCCTTTTTTTTTTTTTTTTTTTTTTTTTTTTTACTAAAATAAATGTTATTAGATAGAGGTATGTAACAAAGATATATATATAATGTAAATGTAACACTTATTCCGTGATACATAATGAAAACATAATCTTGATATCTGCTAGATTTGTTGAATATTCTAGAAGTTAACCTAATGGTTGATCGCCTGCAACCTTTTGTTATAAATGCAAATTATATATAGATATGCGCATATATAATATATATTAAATTTCTCTCATCTTTTTCCGTTATCACTAGTTGCTGTCGTTGGCCGAGCAAAAAATGTGGATTGGAATGAAGAAGCTGATTGCTGGAATTTAATTGTGGCATCTTGTCCTGCAACTACAGTAATAAATTTAAACATCGTACATTTTAACCATTCTTCCCATTCATCTTGCCTTCCTTCGGAGGAAGTCTGTCCATGATTATTCATATTTGCGCCAAGGTGACTGTTCTTCGCATCTACACCTTCACAAGATTGATCAAAGTAGTTTTGCAGAAATTCCTCCCAATCATCACCTAACATAGAGATCTTTTCTCTTACTCCACTTTTTACTTTTGCCCAAGCGCGTGAATTTCGGAGCATCCTCCGGGTGTCATCATAAAGAGTAAGGAAATATGAAGCGCAGAATATAAAACAAATGGTTGTTATGCAAAATGAATATATCACCATTAGAGTAAAGAATTGTACAGCAGAAGAAGAAAGTATTTTGCGTGGCACGTTTAAGGTCCGAGGTAAAAGTGAGGAGAGTCCTGCACTATTGTTCTTGGCCTTTCGTGAGCCATTTCGAGCTCGAGCTTGAGCACGAGTAGCTGTAGCATCTGTAATGTCGTTTCTATTCAAAGATGGAGTGGAATGCGGTGATACCGGACATTGTGTTGAATAATATTGGCTATTTATATTCGAAGGCTGTCCTCCTGCCGGCGTCGACGGATAATAAGAAGAACCGGGGTTATATTCTGCGTACTCGAAACTATCGTCCAAACCGTAAGACGAAGGTGGAGGTGAATTTGTACGAGGTGACATTTTTAATTTTTTTTTTTTTTTGTAACTGTCTCTATCAAATAGTTTTTTATAACACCAGGTTTATTTTAATTTTTTTTGATAAAGCTATTTATTATTTGTTGATATTTTTCTTAGGCAGGGTTTTTATCACGCAGCGAATATTACCCAAGCCGACCGAAAAAAGAAATACGAAACTCTATTAAATGTTATTTGGGAGAAAGTTTTTTTTGGATTATTGTAAAAATCAAAGGTATTAAAGCATTTCTCAAAGTAGCTTTTACTTATCAAGAGAAGGTAAAAAAAAAAAAAGATAAAAAAGCGCTCGGAGAGAAAGGGCGGACAATTATGTACAAAATACTTTATAAATTGAGGCAACACTATATAAATTAGAAAAAAAATTTTCCCCGTTTTTTCAGGCGTTTGTGTCTCAGCAGATTTCCAAAAATCATCAAAATCACAAGGGATCAGTATTTACATAAGATAATTGGCTGATCGTTGAGAAAATTTTTTAGTTGTACTATAAATCTTAATATGTTAGTGGTTAATGGAAACCTGCGTTTCTTGCAACATTCTAATTCCATGGTTTTTAAAAAAACTATCAACGTACGTGCGTGCTTGCTTGCTCGTTCAAAATCCATGCATGGTTTTAAACAATTACTTTGTAAAGAAACCCCTGACGTTTACTAAGATTGCAACGTGAATATCAAAGATAGGCGAAAAACAAATTCTGATCTTTCCCTGCTTTTCAATTTTTCCCTGGCTCCATGCACTGCGATTATGATAAACGTGCTTTCTACACGCGATGTTTTTTTATATGTCTGTATGCTATTGATACCATTGCGCCACTTATTTGTCATGTAGTGAATATATTACAATCACATGATTATTGTTATCGATTATCAATTTATCAATATGTGGCCTGATTATCAATTACCAATGAAACTTCGAGTAAACTAATCTACAGTTCATAATACGTATTCGATTTCACAGTTTAATGAATATATATATATATATAATATCTGATATATAATTAATATGTAACGTATACATAAAGGTTTATTATGCTTCAATATTACTTTCATCTTTTTTTATTTCAGGAATGATTATTCCGCCAGTTGTGGCCCTTGCGAGTATTCGTTCTGCCCACTTGACCATTGGGAGATCAATCCTGTAATAAAAATACACTTTTTAATATATATATATATAATAAATAAAAAATGCCGGAACCCATAAAAATTCAGATTATATTTATGACTTAAGTCCTATAAATAAACGTTTGTGGGCTCCAGGCTAGAAAGAAAAGGCAAAATTACATACATTTTGCCATCCAAGTCAAACGCCCCAATTCCTTTTTTAGAATGCTGCTCGTAACCATAAACAATACGTGCAGCTCTTTCTACATCTATGCAACATATAGTGTAATTAAATCTTATCAGAAATCGAATAGAGATGAATCTGTCATACCTTGCATATCAGGTAAGAACATTTTTTGTATAATATCGATTTGACGCGGATGAATTGCTTGCTATATTATGAGAATTTCAAAGACATAATCACGGTCATAATAAATTTATAATAATTCTCTAATGACATTAATTATTTACTTTTCCGAGATAACCCATCTCTCGGCCTTCTTGACATTCTTCTGTCAGGGTATTATCATTCCTAAAATCGACGCAAACCTATGTAGCAAACAAAAGCACACCGTTCAATATAGTATCAAGTTGTAAAACGAAAAAACCAGCAATTTATACAAATAGTAATAGTTCATGATACCAGATCAATTGCTTGCAATTCATAAGCACTAGCGGCCGTTACTATGGTCTGTCGCGCTAGCAACATTTCCTTCCGTGATCGCGTTCTTACAATTCCTTAATAAATAAAATAATAAATCGGCTATTTCTATCTTCATATATAAGGTAACATCAATTCTTACCAACATCTGCGCAATAATCCTCAGCAGCAAACTATGCACAAATATGAATCGGTAAATTCACCAACTATCATTATAAAACTGGTTGCAAATTCAGAAATAGGACCTTACGATTAGTGCATCAAGTCTAGGATCAGACGTTGCAATTTGTTTAATATTCATAATGGCCAAAGCACTTTCTATTGACGCCAGTAAACGAATTTTAGACCGACTATAACATTTAAACTAGAAATTGTACATAATGTATTGATATTTTAATATCAATTAAACCTCATTTAATCTTACCTCTCATCAGGTGCTACTAAATCTATCATTCGGCTAACAAATTTAACGTCATCCGCTGACCTAACTTTGGGTATAACAATGCCCTCGAGATTCTTCGAACGAAGCTAAGTAGTTTACATTAATTTTGATTAATTCCGTGAGGAATATGATGACAGAATTAACATTTTAATTAATAAACTTACTATAACATTAAGATCATCCAGCTCCATGCCTTTGATATATGTCAATATGCCAATTACGAGAACTAATATTAATACAGAAACAATTGAATTATATTTTACCTGAACCAACAGCATTTATTCGAACAGCTTTCTCAGATTTTTCGCTAGCTGGAGATGCCTAAAAAAAATAATAAAGTTAAATACCTGATAAATTTAATTATAATTAATAAAAGTTTGATGATACCCCTAAAGCATCGACAACCATTTTTCTCGCAATGCCTTTTCTATTAAATGCAACACCATCTTCTAAATCATATACGATACTGTCCGCGGTAACATTTAGGGAGCTTTTGATTTTACGTTCTTCACTACCTGGAACTATAAATATCACCAGAGCTTCAGTACGACTAAACCATAGATTTTACTCTTTAACAACTTAGTACCATAGAACAATGCCCGTCTAGCCCTCGGTATGCGTTTTGGAGACACAGCTTCGATTTTTTGCGCGTCACTTGTATAATACCGCGTCAACCGCGAAAAATTTCTAGACAATACGTGACTTGTTCGTGAAAATATCATTTGTGGTGCTATTTATATAAAATATACCACACTAAATAATTAGAAGTTATATTCAACAAGTATTAATAAAAACGATAAAATAATGCGTACCAAAGGTTCGTAAGGTACATAATGTGTGCATTCTCTTGTGTAGAGATAGTATAGAGATGTATGACAACCCTACGAAAAAAATGTAGCTGCAAGTTCGGTAACACGAATGAACATCATTTTAGCAGTTACACGCAAAAATTAATTAATGTGGCGGTTCACCAGATCAAAATGAAATTTTTGGGGGTGCATTTTTTAGGGATAGGGGTTAGGGTTAGGGGTTAGTTTTAATAATAAACAAGTATAAGTGGGTTCTAAACGGTTCTAAACTGTAAATTATGTTTCGAACCATAGAGTATGATTCAAGGCTACAAACTTAGGTTTGAGACCATAGAAGAGGATTTAAAACCCGAAGTATTAAGTAATAAAATATATAGATATGTTTTTTTTTTGAACAAATTTTTAAGAGAATTGCTATTTCCACCTCTATTTTTGCTAATGCCACCTCTAAAATTTAAAAAAGTAGGGAACGTTTAAAGCGGAGGTAAATCATGTGATCAACCGCCAATCAAATTATTGAAATGCCGTGAACGAAGTCACGGGGCATTCATTTGTCACGAGATCACCCATTTCCCATGACCAGGGACCCTGAAAAATTGCGATGCCCATTACACAAATATTGTTTTGGGTAAAGGCAAAAAATGTTTTTTATTGCGA